TATATATATATATATATATAGAGAACATCATTTTTCTATTTGTATGATTAACAAATTACTAATAAAATGGCATCACTATACTTCACATTGGGGTTTAAATGAGCAATTCAACATGAAATTATGGAACTCAACTCTTATGAAAAAGAGTTTGAATTCATTGTAGTGTTTATTTATCTCCCATTATGAAGGTTGTATATAGTTAAATGGTGGTTGTAACACTTGAAGCAATTGGACCTCTCCCTCCCTTCTTGCTAAAGGATAATCTAATCTTTTTTAAGGAAGTTTGTCTGCCTGAGCACCTAATGCAGTTTTAAGAAACTTATGAATAATAAGATAAAATTCATTTTCTTCTTTTGTTTGATTCTTTATTTAAAAGGCAAAAAATCTTCCATAAGAAAATTGAAAAAATTAAAGGAATTTCAAGAGACATGTGCAAACCAAAACAGAGATATAAAAAATGGAAAAAAAAAATAAAAATAATTAACCATATATATTCAAATCATTGTAGATTTTGACCCCAAGTTGCACCTAGTTTTCATTTTAAAGAAAATGGATAAAATATTAATTACATTGTTCTTTATTTTGTTTAAAAAAAAAAAAAAATCACTTTTCTGCATTTTTGTTGCATAACAAAACCTCAAACGTTTTTGCTCTTAGCTCTTTACTGTTTCCTTCCTTCCAAACACAACTTATAATTCTTAATGAAAAGTGCTATGTTGGTGCACCTGGTAATATTTTTTACTTGCACACCTGAATATTTAACCAGATTACACAACAGCCCCTTATAATTAAGTAGATCCATTGCAAGCATGAAATAGAACAAGCTTTTTGCCCTAAAGAAAACAAAATAAAGATACCAAAATAGAAACAAATCCACATTCTTTATTTAGACTTCTCTACAATATTTAGTGAATCGGTAGAACATATGTTATTGCTTTGCCCTTGGAATAGAACAGTCTGATATAGAATTCCAGGAACAATCCAATACTAGGCATTTTCAATTTATTTATTTATTTTGAAGAAAACATACTACTGTTATATGGCTAAATGTTCCACATCCCACGGTACCATAACACTGTGTTTGGTTAGGAAGTTTGTAAAGGAATTTGAAAAAAAAAAGAAAAAAATGTGAAAAACTAAATAAAATGTAAGTATATTTTATTCACATTTCACCTATTTTTTCCTTTTCTCTTTGTCTTTTTAAATTCTTTCCCAAATCCTCCAACCAAGCACAACGTAAAAATTCAAATTACGGAGTTGAAATCTATCTCTAGGATAAGCACAATATGTAAACATATAAACCTGTTCATCAGGTTATATTTCTTAATCCACAGATTGTCTCACATTAACAAATTTGAGTAGAACTTGAGGTCCAAGCAAAATCATAGAATCATCTTGTTTTTTTTTAATCCCAAGGTCATGTTTGTTTGAGAGGACATAGCCTTAGAATAATAATCTAATAAAATACATAATTCCATGTTTGGCTAAGAAAATTGAAGTTCAGACTAATAATCAGCCTGGACATGTATCCCCCATCTAATGGACAATTGAACTCTAAAATGGGAATTAAGGAGAGATTAAGACTAATTGGCTAAATTAAAAAATTGATAAGAATTTTTCAATCCTTCCTCCTAATTCTAGGCCAATCCAAACATGGGATATGATACACAATCCAAATGGATTGATAATCCCAGGACTAACAGTATAATTTAGTTTGTCCAAACAAACATGACCCAAGTACATTCTTTTGCCGAACATCTTACTGACTTTCAAATTTCAATTAAAATTTACCTGATTTTAGTGTTTGATATTAACCAACTCCAAGCAGTTCTCTAAAAAAAACTCCAATCAGTTAGGATCAACTTCAACTCCAGACTACTTGCAAAATTCTCATTGAACAGAACAAGCCCATGTTCAAAAACCTAGGGAAACTATATAATCTTCCTGCATAGTACAGTTTATAACGTGCGACCCCTAGACAATTATATCCAATAGCTCACACATAACAGAGTTGCTAAGATTCTGTCTTTTAATATAAACAAAACAAACAAACAAAAAAGCACTCTGTTTCTGCTTGAGTTGTCCATTTCACTAATTGAACATAATTACTGCATTGGGAGAGGATCTTGGAAAACTTAAAAACTTTTGTGCTACCTGGAAAAGTTCCTTATGCGGTAGACAATCTACCTTGATAACCATCTTTTGTAGCACCCTTGCATTCTTCAGCAGAAATTGCACAAACGAGAAGAGGAAACCACGGTAATACCATCTTAAGCCAGCACACTTGACTATTTTCAGATGCATCATCAAACAGTTAAAAGTCTTCTTTTGTGAAGTCCAGTAATGCTCCCCGTTAAAATTGAAAAGGCGGGGGCGAACGTCAAAAAAATACTGCAGATGAAGAATCATTAAGCTGAAATCTATGCATAAGTTTAAGAGTATCAACACAATTTTAGCAAAGAATGACTTCTCATGGTCACTGAAATGATTCAAAATTCTACATCATATGTCATTTGGAGAAAATTTTGAGGGTGTAAACATAATGTCCAAATAAAATTTATTTACCTACAAACAAATGGCAAAAAATTTCCATAGAATCACTTACAATCTAAAGTAATGACTCATCAATACTAAGCAGTAGAATTGATTGGCATTACTATATAAATTACATAAAGATAAATTCAAAACCAATTTTTAAAGGAGTCTTTCCATATCTTAAAGAAATAATTAAGGAAATTATTATGAAAAGACATACCTCATCATTCATGGAAGGGGACATGGTTATGACTAATGTCTCTAGATGAGAACAACTTTCCAAGATGTCTGCTATTCCAAGGAGAATTGACTCCTCAATACGCGTATCTATAGTTAAACATTCACACTTTGAGAGTGGAGAACGCAAGTCTTTCATTTCCATTGCTGATAGTACCTTTCCCCATCAGAAGCAAGATGTGAAACAAAACAAAAATATGAAAAGCAAGACACAACCAATTAGAAGATTATTTGACATACCTACAATAAGATATTTTGTGTATTAAAAAAGCAAACTAACTATGTGCAAATTCCTTAATCACTTTTTCATTTTCAAACCATGTCACTCCTTACAATGGAAGCGAAGTAACCACAATGGATCCGATTAATTAAAACACAAAACTGAAGTAACCACAAAGGATTGGATTACTTATAAACACAATACTGTTAATTGTACTTGAGAAGAATGACTTTTACTAATAAGGCATCGTCTGGGAACATGCTAATTTAATAACTTTTTGACTATTTTGTTAAAATATGAGCTAAAAAAAACTATTATGTTTGGGATGACTTTTTGGCTTTTTACAAAAAGATGTGCAAAAAGTAGAGAGAAAAGATAATTTTTAACTTTTTGGTATCGGTTGTTGACTTTTTGACTTTTTTAATAACTTTTTGACTTTTTGACTAAACGGACTGGTTCCCAAACGAGGCCTAAATATCATTCAGCATAAAAAGAAGCACAAAAAATGGACAATGCCATAGTTAAGGGATTTTTTTTTTTTTTTAGAAAAAGAAAAAGGTCAACAGATACCAGAGGCACGTGCCTTCTCTGTTTAGAATGGTACAATTTTTTTTAAAATTTTTTTTTATAACAAAATGTTAAATACATTTGCTTGGGTTAAGTTAAATACTCGGTGAATTTGATTCAAAACAAAAATCCTTATGTTAAATACTTGCGTTAAGTTAAATACTTGTAAGTTTAATACATTTTTTTTTTCATGAAGACAACTAAAGTAATACGCACACACATAAGGATTGACCAGAATTATATTCCCTTAAAAAGGTGCAAAAAAAAAAAAACATAGAATGTTAAATGAAAAATAGAATATTACACATAGAATATTCTATGTTGTGTTCATGAAGACAACATAGAATATTATATTCCCTTAAAAAGGTGCAAAAAAAAAAAGAAAAAGAAAAAGAAGAACATAAACTCTCTTGCCATATTACACATAAATGTTAAAATCCCAAGTCTTTCAAATTTTTATTTTAATTAGGAACTCTAGATATTCACAAAAAAATTAAATGAAAATTTTTTATCATCTATACATTAGAATCACACAGCAAATAAATATTACATTTGAATGGTACAACTAAATAAATATATTACACAGCAAATAAAATGTTAAATAATATTTTCTGAGTGTTAGTTTAATTTTTTTTGTTGCAGGAAGATCAACTAAATAAATCACCCTTACTTTTTTTTTTAAATAGCTCCAAACAAACAGTCCCTTCCCCCTCCTTCTCTCTCTCTCTCTACATTCTTTGCGAAACCCATAATCAAACTCACATTTTCTGAGTCAAACCAGCATTTAGAATAGATGTTTTTTAACAATCACATTATTAAAATGATAAATTAAAACTCGAGCACAATAATTGTCCGAATTTGAACTTTTCTCTTTCTTAACTGACTTCAATTTTATAGAGATGAAATTAAAACCAAAATTAAAACCCATTATAATCATAAATATTTTGAAGTTCACCATTTATGACTTGGAAACTCCAAACATAAATTTATGCCAAAAAAAAAAAAATCACCACATAAGAAAGCCATTTTATAAGCAAAGATCAACTAAATAAATCACCCTTAATTTATTTTTAAATAGCTCCAAACAAACAGTTCCTTGCCATAATAACCTCTCTCTCTCCCTACATTCTTTGAGAAACCCATAATCAAACTCACATTTTCTGAGTCAACCCAGCATTTAGAATAGATGTTTTTTAACAATCACATTATAATGGTAAATTAAAACTCGAGCACAATAATTGTCCGAATTTGAACTTTTCTCTTTCTTAACTGACTTCAATTTTATAGAGATGAAATTAAAACCAAAATTAAAACCCATTATAATCATAAATATTTTGAAGTTCACCATTTATGACTTGGAAAGTCCAAACATAAATTTATGCCAAAAAAAAAATAAAATTCACCACATAAGAAAGCCATTTTATAAGCAATAAAGTAATGCACACATATGCATTGACCAAAATTTTTGAAATGCAACATAGAATATTATACTCCCTTAAAAAGGTGAAAAAAAAAGGAACATAAACTCTCTTTCCATATTATACATAAATGTTAAAATGCCAAGTCTTTCAAAAAAAAATTAAATGAAAAAAAACAGTCCCTTTCTTTTTAGAATGATACAATTTTTTTTTTTATAACAAAATGTTAAATACTTGGTGAAGTTAAATACTTGTAGGATATCTATAACGGATTATGTTAAATACTTGTGTTAAGTTAAATACTTGTAAGTTTAATACATTTTTTTTCATGAACACAACTAAAGTAATACACACATATATACATTGACCAAAATTTTTCGAAATACAACATAGAATACTATACTCCCTTAAAATGGTGCCAAAAAAAATAATAATAATAAAAAAATGGGAAAATTAGTCTAGGGTCCCTCTCCCACTTTTCATAATGGAAGAGATCCACAAATTTATTTTTTGATGTCTAAGGTCCCTAAACATATATCAGAGAAATTTGATTCTTTCTCTCTCTCTTTCTATCTACCTTATTTTGATCACCACCACCAGACGCCCTTCTTTCTTCGACTTTTGACTGTCGTTGTCTCCCCCTGAACATATATCAGAGAAAATTGATTCTTTCTCTCTCTCTTTCTCTCTGTCTATCTACCTTATTTTGATCACTACCACCAGACGCCCTTCTTTCTTCGACTTTTGACTGTCGTTGTCTCCCAATCTACACTAGTCTATTGCCATCTCGGCTATTGGTCTCCGATCAAAGTCTCATGTGGTGTTGGCTTCAGTCAACGAGGCTCGATGCGAGCCCCTTTCCCACCAGAAGAAGATCTTCAAGGTTGATGATCACATCGCTTTCTCCGGCAGAGTTTCGAATTTGTTATTCAATTCAATCTCCTTCCAAATCCTCTGAAATCGCAACTCCTTGTTTAATTTTTTCCCTGGAAACAAACAGAAACCAACTATGGCTGAACATTTCTCTGAACAGCGTTGATCACAGAGGCTTGTGCTAGATGTTTGTAAAAATGTCAGAGACAGTAGGCGAGCGTTAGAGGAGCTGAATTTGAAGTGTACGAAGCTGAGATCGCTCAAATTAGGGCAATTTCACGGGGTTTGCACGGCGAATGAGTCAAGCCTTGAATCGAGGCTCGATGGCATTGCTCTGTTTCAAGGGCTTGAGGCTTTGTCGATTAAGAACTCTGCGGACTTGACTGATTTGGGGTTGATTTGCTATTGCTAGAGGGTGTTCGAGATTGGCTAAATTTGAGGTTCATGGTTGCAGGAAAATCACGGTGAGAGGAATGAGAATGCTGGCTTGTTTGCTTCAGTGGAGTTTGGTCGAGGTTAAGATCTCTTGCTGCAAGAACCTCGACACGGTGTCATCGTTGAAGGCGTTGGAGCCAATTCAGGATCTCTCGTCTAACAATTTTAGCGGATCAATTTCGGAAGATATAGGTGAGTTGAAATCTTTATCTGGAACTCTGAACCTCTCTTTCAACCATTTCTCTGGGCAAATTCCTAAATCTATGTGGTCAGGTTCGAATGGTGACAAGAAAATAAAATTTCTGAGTTGTGAATTTATCTGGGTTGAGTGATTTGGAGAGGGGAAATTTCAACACACTAGAAGAAGTTGATGAGTGAAAGTAATTGCCCTGGCCTTTTTGGGGTATGTAAGAGCATTGCGAAGGAACAGGTGGCTCTTTAGGTTCTTTGTGACCCCCCATCAGCTTTCTCTGAATTTTCTGTCCAGAGAAATTTTGTCCAGAGAAATTCTAGGAATTTCTCTGGAATCACCCAGAGAATTTCTCTAAGAAAATTTACATAGTGGCCAAAATCCCAGAGAATTTATCTCCAGAGAAAATGGGTTGGCCAAGAAGTGGCTTTGATTCCACGCTTTTCCAATGGGTAGTGTAAGACAACAGCATCAAAGAATTTCTCTGAAGCAGAGCACTAGTTCAACCTAGAGGAGCCAGAGAAATTTGTGAAGTCAGAGAAATTTCCTAGATCAATGTACAATCACCAATTTCTGTTCATAAAAATACAACTTTACTGTAAATAGAGAGAATTTCTCTGGTTTCAATCTAGAGAATTTCTCTGGTTTGTCTAGTTGGAAGAGAATTTCTCTGGTTTTGGACCAGAGAATTTTGTGGGTTTGTAGGTTTGTTAGACATGGGTTTAATTGTAGTTAATAGAGCCAGAGAAATTTGCGAAGTCAACGAAATTTCCTGGATAGCCATACAAATTTCCTCTCCACAATTTTCTCTGGATTTATTTGGTACTCAGAGAAATTTCAATTTTCTCTGGAGAGAATTTCTCTGGAACTGAAATTTCTCTGGATTTCAATTTTCTCTGGAGAGAATTTCTCTGGGAC